GAGCGGCGCATGGATCAACAGGAGAATTTGTTGGAGAGATTTTTCGTCTTTCTTTCAAAAGGATAAAGCTAAGTATTGTGCTCTTAATTATCTTGTAATTATTGTAAACACTTTCTAGTGGATTTTCTTTAATTTAAATGAAGTTTTCTATTATGTTTTATCCATGCTTTGTAAGTAGTTTTCGTTACTCTTTTCTCTTAATATGAAGTAGTGGCATGTGTAGGAAAATTTGTTTTATGATAGAATTATTTTTATTTTAATGTGATGAGTAATATCTCATTCACTTCATTAATATAACTTAAGTGACAAAAGGTTATGTTAAAATCTGTTGTAAGTGAAACAAAAACTCGGGAGAGCGGTGATCTCACAACTAGAGTGCACTCACATTGTCCAATTAGCTATGGTAGAGTAGTTTACGTGACAATAGTATGGGCGGTAATGCAACTTTTAAGGAAATATAATTCATGATCTGTTTCTATTAGAAGCTTCTAGGTGACAGCTATTAGAAGCTTCCAGTTGACAGATAGTTACATAAAACTAATAGAATACTAAGCATACTTATATGCTCAAAAGAGGGTAGTGATCCCAAGAATATAGTTGTGCAAAATAGATAAAATTGACTCTGTTATGTAACATTGTCAAAAGCTTGATGCAATTTTTTATAAATAAGAAATTTAAGCAATTAATATTGTGATTCTATGCAAGTATATGTATTATTATCAAGTAATAAAAGACTATCTATATAAGTCTCAAATATCGATCCCACGAGGAAGATTTAAATTTGAAATTATAAATTAACTAGAAAATTCACAGAAAGTAAAATGAAATTACTGTCACAAATTTCAAATGTTGAGGTATTATCAAAATTAAATTATTTAACTACTCGCAAAACTGAAATGCAAAGTTTAAACAGTAACTACTAAACTATCAAACTATGTTTATGTGATGAAGATTTCTTATGTAAAAAAAAACATTTTTCCCACTACAATGAGATTTTGGTAAAATAAGATGAGATAAATGGTTTTAATATGTATTGTGTCAAATAGGAACAGTTTTAATTCTCTATCCTGATACAGTGTTATAGAAAATCATTGACTAATCCTAGGTTTAGTCCCTAAATTCGTGGCTAGGCTAGGAGGATATTGGCTCTCACTCCAGAACTCCCACTTCCCTTCTCCTGAAGGCTAACGCTCGCTTTAGTTCTTAAACACTATGGATTTTATTTTGTCACCCGAAAATCTCCAATTCTACACCCAACAATGTATATTTCCTTATTTATTTGCACTTAATTTGATGAACGAAATTCTCTTTCATGGAATTAAATATGATCCTCACTCTGTTGTAGAACTCATACTCCATTTCTCGGATCATATGTTTTACAACAAATTCTAACAATTCAATTGACCAGATCGAAAAGTAAATTAAGTTTGGAGTTGAAAAATCATCACAATTTATTTTATATTTTAACATTGACACATCCATATTATCTCTTCATTTCACTATATCTTAGAGTAGGGAGAAAGATAAAGGAAACTACTCAGACTTCATGAGAAAGATACAAAAAAACACAAATTTCATATATAAAAAAAAAGTTCATACAATACTAAAAAAACAAACAAAACTTATCTGAAACTCTTTCTCAAAGAAAATCCCTTATAGCCTTTCCTACGAAATATAGGAAGAAGAAATCTCTCACTTTTCTCCTTCTCCAACACGTTAGAGAAAGATTCACACTTAATCCCAACACAAAAACTCTAAATTCTTAAAGAAAAATCAATAATAGAATCTAAAATGGTGGTGGAATGAAGATGGAAAAGTGAATGGTATGTAAGAGAATGAATTGAGCCGAGGAATGACGAAAAAGGAGCCAATTTTCTGATCAATTTCGGCCCCAAATAGAGCCTAGAGTCGGTTCTCCAATAGGTGCATCCAAAAACTCTTCAAAAAGTATTCAAATTCACCAAATCTTCTAGAAACAGGGTCTGAATCGACACTGGTGTCGTCGGCGCTAGTATTCTGCAATTTAATTCGCTGCTCTCTGTCAAACGGTGTCGTCTGCGCTGAACAAATTTTCCAAATTTTCATCTTCTCCATTTTAACTTAAAATTTCATCTTTTTTTGCTTCATTTTTGTTTCAAGTCCTAAAATTCAACAATTTGCAAGAAAAAAATAAAAATATCTTCCATTAAAGTACAATATCACCAAAAATGAGTATAAAATATGGGTCTAAAAATGCATATATTTTTTGTGTATCAAGTAGGTAGACATATGTTCCTTTTTGGCACTTAATTTATTACATAATTCTATCAATCTTTTACTGTTTATGTCATTATCTTCATTTTACTTTGACAATAAATTTGATGCATGTTTAGTAATTTAGATTTGCTTAGAAATTCTCTTATTTCATAAATGTGATAGTATTTTCATGGGCTCTTAATTTATTTTACAAACTGATCACTTGTATTGTTAAAATTTGTTGAGAAACTTACAGACCCTAAATGCTAAGATTTCTCCAACTAGTAAGTATCACATTTCACTTTGGAAAGAGTAGTGGTGATCGTCCGAAGGGAAGTGAAATTAAATAGGGAGATAAGATTTGATGAGCATAGAATTGATGTTTCTAGGGTGACAAACTAGATTCTTTTGTCAATTTGGTCTAGAGATTGGAACTAGGGGTCCTTGGTAGGTCCTACAGAGAGGGCACAGTTGGTAATCTAGAAGGGAGACACTAGAACCTACCCAACACTACTATGCATGCCAACACCAACTTTACATTAGCCAATGTCCTGTATGCTTGGAAGAGGTAAAGAATAAGCATGCTCCTATTTGTCACTACTACATTAAAATTTATGCATTTCATTCCTTTACATTTTCTATGTCGTTGCACTTGAGAATGGTAGTTTTTATATCTCAAAATTCTCCAAACCAATTTATCCAGATAAGTTATCTTTAGAATTAATATTTGCATTTAGGAATAATTGCTTTCCTTACATTTAATATTTACATTTAGGAGTAGTTGCTAGATAAACTATCATCTTAATCGACCTTCCAAACTAAGACCTGATAGTAATAGATTAGAACTTATCCTAAGACATTTCTTACCTCGCTTCTCTATGGGATCGATACTGGGGTCTTTAAAGAAAATCATATATTACTTGAAATGATATGTATATTTGCGTAGTACCCCTAGTAAGTACCTCTAGTGTGTAATTTATTTTTTTAATTTTATAACATTTCAATTTTGCACACTAGCCATTAAATATAAATTTGGGTCAAGCTTTTTTGTCCATCTTTTGGAAACTAAATTGTTGTGTAATTGCGGGTCGGGCTAAGAGGCTGACCAAAATTTACAAAGACAGAGGAACATGCCCACTCAACTGAGAGTTTAAATTTTTAAGTTCGTGGAGCATATTAAAGACAATGAGTACTTTAAGAAGGCTCTATCAATGAGAATTGAAGTTTTCCTTCGAAACACCAACAAATTCTATATGTATCAAAAGGACTATCGTCACGACATAGAGGAGTTCAGGCACCTCTAAAGCTTGATCGAAAAACTGATTCAGTTCATAAAGCTCAAAGAGGTTGTGGCCCTTAGAGCACAAACCCAACAACAAGGGAAAGAACCTGCAGAATATGACCAGATGAGCCCATTCAAGCAAACACTATTCACATTGTAGGGATAGTGCCAGCTATACTGGGTGGAGATTCGGTCTGAAGAGCTGATCGTAAGAGGCTCCGATCAGGGGAATACTGTGTTATTGCTTCCACCTCAAAACGAAAGCCCCAACCCCCAATCATCTTTATTCATGTGTATTTTCCATCTGCAGGGAATTCATAAATCGACGTTAGATTGTAGTATCTTGGTTGATACGATGATGATTGATAACTACCAGATTGGTAGTGTCTTAGTCATTATGATGATGATTAATAACTACCAGATTGGTAGTATCATGGTTGATACAAACAGTTCAGGGAACATACTGTTTGTATCAAATAAAATGCATGTATAAGCCAATCTCTGGTTGCACTGACTGGCCCACTGTATGGAATTTCTAGTGAGTGAAAAGAGGCCCTTGGTAAAATTGGGTTGTCAGGCACCTGGGGAGAAGGTGATGCTTTTGGTGGTTGATGCGTAACCAATGTACAACATGATCTTTAGTCGCCCACAGGTAAATAATTTGATAATAGTGGTAGCCACTTACCATGTGACGAAGAAAATATAACTGTTTTTGAAAATCTAGAGCAATCTCGGATGTGCTACCTCCAGTCGATTGGTAATGTAAAACAAGAAACATTAAACATTCAACACCAATGAGAGAGGGGTCTCGAAATCGATGAAGCAACAATTGAGCTCCTCGCTGCGTTCAACGAACCAGATAATGTTTTTCGAATTAGTGAAAGTTTTGATGCAAGGTAGAATGACGTTGATCCGGACTCTCTGGGAGCATCAGGATGTCTTCGCTTGGTCAGCCACTAAGATGTCGGGCATCCCAATAGACGTAGCATGCCACTGCCTCAACGTCAATCTACTCGCCAGACCAATAAAGTAGGTTATTAGAACGTCAACCACAATTTTGATTGTGTCGATTCGCAAGGAGGTGCAAAAGCTCAAGAAAGCGAGCTTCAAACAATTATGAATATCTAACTTCAAACAATTATGAATTTGAAATGATGTCAATGGTGATTATGAATTTTAAAGGATCCTAGTCGGTTACAAATATGTAAAAGAGTAATGATACATTAATCACTTGTAACTTTCCTATTTAAACAAATATATAACCTACTAGACATTCCTTACAATAGGCCATTATTTTAAAAATGGACCATTGAATCTATTCCAAGAAAATTTAGATTATTTGGCGTGCCACTTTCTCTCTCTTTTCTTCCTGCACATGACATTTTAGGATTCAACACAGAAAAATAGCGAGCTTAAAATACGTGGTTGGTCCATCACCTAGGGATCCAATACCACCATCTTTAACATTGGACCAAATCCTGACCTCACGGACGACCATAGAAGCAGCAACCAAAATAAAAACGGCGTAAACAGAAGGCAAAGCCAGAAAAGCCAATACGGAGCAGAGGGACCCCGCAATCCTTCTTCCCAGTGACCTCATAAACACCGCAGAGCTAGAATCTCTCATCCATGGATCCCTCTCCTTGAAATAATTAGCTTCGTAATAATCATTCCAACAGCTTTGACAAAAGAATAAGAAGACGAGGAAGAAGACAGGGAAGACGACGTGCAGAAGCGTACTATAGTATAGAAATAAGAGAAAACGGAGAGACAAGACTTTTTCTCCTTATTAAATTGGGGGCCAAATCTGACTTCTCTGACTCTGCACCATTGGGTTTGGTTAATTATATTTATGGTTTCCCATGTTTTCTTCCTCTGTGTTTTTATTTTTTTTTTATGGCGCCGTTGTTGGGCAGATCAATATGATAGCTTTTTGTTAAAGACAGATCAGGGTGAGATCTATTTCGTAGGTAGGGGGCGGTGAATTAGAGTCTTCGTCTTCGTCTTCTCCCCTTCGTTTGGCTTGAAGGTGAGTTTTCAAAACCTTAGCTTGCGGGGGAGTAACCAAATTATGAGATCTTCGGCTTCAAGGCTTCAAGCCTTCAAGGCATTAATTTGTTGTTTCCTGCTTTCTAGCTTTCTTGTTTGATATTTATGACAACGCTTCGTGGACTTGTCCTTTCGCTTCTTCTCAGTCCATCATGAATTATTGCTGTGTATTTAGTAAAGCAATAAAGTGCTTTATCAATTAATGCTTCAATCTTCTACTCCCTTTGTAGTTCCAGATCCATTCCATGTCTGCAAGTTTTGAAGGAGCTCTCCTTATTCTTATAGGGAAAATACCAAGTTTCCTAATTTACTTATTGTATTAAAAACCCTCTTATCTCAGATCTTGTTATATTAATTGCACCAATGAATTCAGGTGATTTTTAACATTAATGAACGCGCTTTCATTATTACTGTCAAGAAGCCCTTTTTTTCATGGAAACCCAAAGCTTGCTTTCCCGCCTCTGATCATCTGCCATTTTCGCAGTCTCTGCTGTTCAAAATCTCGTTTTGATCTACTAGTTCTGTGATTCTGAATCGTTTCTTCTTTCAAATAGAAGTTGTATGTTTGCAGGTGTAATGGCCAAGGAATACTCCGGATCTCCCAAGATCCATCAGTCGGAACCAAAGAGGCAGCGGTTTACTTGGATTCTAGGAGTGAGCGGCCTCTGCGTTATCTTTTATCTTCTCGGCGCATGGCAGAACTCAGCCGTGCTTAAACCCACGATTTCTGATGTCTCCAAAGTCGGATGCGACGATTCCGGCCACGCTGCCTTGTCGGTAAATGCCCGCCATGGCGAGCAAACCTTCTCACCATCTAATGTCAAACTGGATTTCGAAGCTCACCACCAGCTTGAAATCAAGGATACTTCGCCTGTGATGGAAAAGTTTCCTTCTTGTTCCATGAACTTCAGTGAATACACTCCTTGCCAGGAAGCAAGCAGAGGAAGGAGATTCTCTCGCGCAATGCTGGTTTACAGAGAGCGCCATTGCCCAACAAACGATGAGCTTATTCGATGCTTGATTCCAGCTCCTCCAGGGTATCGGACACCATTCAAATGGCCGCAAAGCAGAGACTTTGCTTGGTACCACAATATTCCTCACAAGGAGCTGAGCATTGAGAAGGCAGTTCAGAACTGGATTCAGGTTGAGGGAGACCGTTTCCGATTTCCTGGTGGTGGCACAATGTTTCCTCGAGGTGCAGATGCTTATATTGATGATATCAATGAGCTCATTCCATTAACTGATGGGAGCATTAGAACTGCCATTGATACTGGTTGTGGAGTAAGTTTGTAAAGCTCTGACCTTTTTGAGTTGTGAGGAGATTCCATGTGAATGGATTTATGAATTTCTGCTTTTGTTCTGAATTTTTGTAGGTTGCAAGTTTGGGGGCTTATCTCCTTAAGAGGGACATCTTAGCAATGTCATTTGCTCCGAGGGATACACACGAGGCACAGGTGCAGTTTGCATTGGAACGGGGAGTTCCAGCCATGATAGGCGTCATGGCATCGATGAGAATTCCATATCCTGCAAGATCTTTCGATATGGCTCACTGTTCTCGCTGCTTGATTCCTTGGAAAGCTCATGGTGGGTAAATCTGTTGCTTTATATGGAAAAATTAGTTAGTATTCTATAGATGATGCTAGAGCAAAAGTTTCTGAGGTTACTGTTTAACTTAAACAAATTGTTCGGAGTGAAGCTTGACACCATGTGCAACACTCTGTACAATTGAATAGATAATTAAGATTCTTACAGCCGGCCCTTCATAGTTAATATACGGCTAATTATGATGATGAATAAAGTTATGCGAAGAGATTATGCATTTTTTTTTTTTTTTTTTGCTACAGATGGTCTTTATCTAATTGAGGTTGATAGAGTTCTGCGGCCTGGAGGATACTGGATTCTTTCAGGTCCTCCAATCCATTGGAAGAAATACTACAAAGGCTGGGAGAGAACTCAAGAAGATCTGAAGCAAGAGCAGGATGCAATTGAGGAGGTTGCGAAGCGTATTTGCTGGAAGAAGGTGATTGAAAAGGAAGATCTTGCCGTTTGGCAGAAACCCATTAACCATAATGAATGCATCAAGTCAAGAGAGATCTATAAAACACCCCACATTTGCAAGAATGATAATGCTGATATTGCCTGGTAAGAAAAATATTGCTTATTCATCTTATGTGTATTTCAAATTAACATAATAATTGCTTTCGTCAACAGGTACAAGAAAATGGAGACATGCATATCTCCGTTGCCTGAAGTTAGCAATGATGATGATGTTGCAGGTGGAGTGCTTCAGAAGTGGCCAGAAAGGGCATTTGCTGTGCCCCCAAGGATAAGCAGGGAAACTATCCCTGGTATCACCCCGAAGAAATTTGAGGAAGACAACAAACTGTGGAAGGAGAGAGTGACATACTACAAGAAAATTATCCCAACTCTAAGCCATGGACGATATCGAAATGTGATGGACATGAATGCTAACCTTGGAGGCTTTGCTGCAGCAATGGACAAGTTCCAAGTTTGGGTGATGAATGTCATTCCTGTGAATTCTGATCACGATACGCTCGGTGTAATCTATGAACGAGGTTTTATTGGTACATATCATGATTGGTGTGAGGCATTTTCGACATATCCGAGAACTTATGATTTCATTCATGCTGACAGTGTCTTCAGCATATATCAAGACAGGTATGCCACAAATTACAAATTACTTCTTATCCCCCTTTTTAATTGTATTTGCAGCATTGGTAAATATAAATTTCTTCTCATTTTGCAATGTTATGGTATCGTTCATCTTGAACATGGAGATGAAAAGCATGATCACCAACTCCTATAAAAGTACTTGATGCTTTAGACTTTTATAGATGGTAGTAAATTTTTTATCATTCTCATTGAATCTAAAATTCATTTTCAAATGGTACAAGCAAAGAAAAAGCTAACCAAGATAATTTTAGTGATATTCCCTTTGTTGAATATCTATTAGTGCACTTGTTACATTTGCAGCATGAAGGCAACCTTTAGTAGCTTAAAGATAAGGGATTATTAAAAAAGTTCATGGAACAAAGCAACGATGTGATGGAAAAATAAAATATCTATTTAGAGGCTACTTTTGCCTTCATTTATGTTTCTAATAAACCATGTATCAATAGAAAAAATAGAGTTGGATTATAATATAATTGTTATGAGGAGAGTGTTTGGTAATCTTATTCAGCAAATCTTGATGCCTATTTAAGATGAATACAAAGGAACTAAATAAAGGTGAAAATAAAAATAAATTAGAAGGGGGGAGGGGGTTCTAAAATTATATTTTCCAAAATAGTTATTCTCCTATTATGACTTATTCCTACCTTTTAGTCTTCTTGCAAGCATCATATGCTAAATTCCCTTTTATTCACCTTACCTATGCATGAAAATGAGTAAAAAGCCTACATTTTCATGCGTAGGTAAGGTGGGATGTATGTAAAAATTGAAGTTAAGGTGTTAGATATGTAAATTCATTGGAATTGACTGGTATGTATGTATATGTATGTCTATATATATATATATATATTATTTCTAAAATAAATAATTAAAATATAAAAGCTTTGATAAATATATCGACGCGTATTATAAATTTAAAACTTAAGGAGTATCAGTTTTGTTAGATTTTTGTATGAAAAAGGAGAAATTATGTCAACATTTATGATATCATAAATATCTTAATTTATAATTATAGCCTTGGTTATAGGAAAACCGAACTCTTTCAAGGGAGTCATGTCATACGTCATTGCACAAGAAGAAAGTTCTTAACCTTATATTCAGCTTTAACAATGGATCCGACTACAATAGCTTGCTTCTTATTTTTCAAAGTAATTATATTAGCTCCCTTAAAATATAAAACCTAGAAATTGACTTTTCATCACCAATAGATCCAACACATACTGCAACTAGAAATATTTTAATATTTGTGTCCAATATTAAAGTACATAGCAATCCTTGGTATCTTTTTAATGTATCTAAGAATGTGAAGAATGACACTTCAATGCTTTTGTGCTTGAGTATTGCAAATGTTGTCTTAAAATTCCCAAGTAGTCAGATGAGCTCCCTTTGAGCAATATTTACCCAGTGTTTGGTCTATATATATTGCCTCATTCAGTTCATCATACAGAAGGGTGTTATTAGTGTCCATTTGTAGCATTCATCCTTGATTTATGGCCATTGCGATACGAATTTAGAGTAAGGTGATCTTTCTTACTAGCAAGGAAGTATCAAGATAATCTATCCAATGGTAAATTATTTGGCAATCAACAATGGTGCCATCAAGCCAAAATTTATTGTAAAAACTTATTGGCAAGCAATCATCATCATCACCTCAAAGGGGCTGCCAATTTTAATTTATGTTGACTATCAAAACATTCAGCTTACCATCCATAACCTATTTTAATAGAGGTGTTGTTATGAGTATAGGGATAAATTGTGGAAGTTCATGAAAGAGTGAATAGGATGACAAGGAATATACCTTTTATCATCCGGTAGCACGATAGAACAATGTAGATCTAAATATTAGAAGTATGCTTAACAGAAATAACTAGAATGCAAGTGTTGCAAAGAGTTGTTGTTAGGGCCTCATTGAGCACAACTTTAGAGATAGTGAGAAGTTGTAAGGGGAAGAGTAACCAATTATGTAGTAATCAAGGTGTTTCGGACAGAAACACATATCCTCATGAAAAGGTAAATGTTCATATATAGATATTCAATAAGAGCATCTTGATATTTATACCTTTTTTTTTGGTTCAGGAGTTCCAAGAAAATGGAATAAGTGGCATGAGTAGAAAGTTTATCTTTTGGGTGAAAGACATGAACAAGGCAAAGGCAAATAAATATCCAATGAAATTAAATAGAAGGAGGTACGTTAGAAACAAGAGTGGTGATGGGTGATTCGTTGTTGAGAAGCATAAAGAGGATACAGTTAATACAAAAAATCCTCAGTTAGGGCCACATATCTCCAAAACTGGTTGGTGACATTCTGTGATACTTGTGAACCTTGAAAAAAAATTGAACTTTTTCACTGAATGTAGATGCCTCTTTATAGGCATTCAAGATAAATATTAAATAAGGGGAGAATAATAAATATGATTAAAGAAGAATGAAAGCAAGTTTCCCAGCCTATTCATTCTCCAATCTTAAACTTTTCCCAATTTTGATTTTCTTAACATGCATCATATGCTAACAATATAAGAGAATAAAAAAATCATATCCTAACAATAATAAAACCTGAATATTCTCAAATAAGTTGCTGGCGGCATCCAAAATATGATGTCAGAACAAAGCACCTATCCTCTCACATTATACTTCACGTTGTGACTGCTAAGATATCTTCTTATAAAGCCCATCATAGATGGTTTTGATTTATGTAATCTTATTGTTTCCACATCTAGAGAGATAATTTGGCCTGCACAACATAGTGGAGGCATTTAAAATCATTTTCAAGTCTCCAAGAATGCAATTAATATAAATGAATTCGGTTTAGGAAAATGCACGAAAGCATTAATCTCTCCTTACAAAATTGCAGGTGTGATATAACTTACATTCTCCTGGAGATGGACAGAATACTGAGGCCAGAGGGCACGGTAGTGTTCAGAGACACTGTGGAGACATTGGTGAAGGTGCAGGCTATCACGAAGGGGATGAGGTGGAATAGTAAGATCATGGATCACGAAAGCGGTCCCTTCAATCCTGAGAAGATCCTGCTTGCTGTCAAGAGCTACTGGACTGGTGAACCTTCTAAAGATCACTAACTCCAAACCTTCAACTTATACTTCCTCAAGTTTTACTCTCACTTCCTTCAGGATTAGAGAATTTACATTCTACCTTATCAATCTGTGTAGGTATTGTAATGCTATTTCTGCTTGTTCCCATTCAAGCTTCTTACTTTTTTATTATTTTTCATTTTTGGGCTTTTGTTGCTTTTAACTGAAGATTTTATGATTCTTTAGAAACCCTGAAAGCAGAAGGGTCGCTTGTAAACAGAAGGAAATGTTAGCATGTGAGAGGGTGGTGGTTAATTGCTTTGTGGCTGTGGAAAAGTAATAATTTTGGAGGTTGTTGATTTGCTTTTCCTGTAGGAACTTTAGGAGATCTGAGTGCTTTATGTACTGTGAAAATTCAAACTGGTTAGATTCAGACTTGAAATTATATGTGTATTACTTGTCCATCCAAGCATCTGAGTATGAAACGAAGTTGAGGACCAATTGGTTTTTTTTGGGAAAATTGAGTGCTTTATGAAATAAATATAGGATCTGTGAGTGGGCCAAAAAGGTACTTTTTGATGATTGAGCTTTAAGAATAAAGTTGGAGTTCTTTATTGAACTTTAAATGTTGAAAGTATCGTAAGGATGGTGATGCAATATATGTGGTACTGTGGTTGTCATTATCATTTGCATAGTTATTAGGATCTGTCACATGGGAGGTGTGCGCTCGTGGCTATAATTTTGAAGAATTTTAATGTTAGATCTAGATTTTATATTATTTTTTTGTCGGTGTAGTTAATTATATTCTTCCATATTTATAACAGTAACAAATATTTTTTACTCATGTCAAAGTTTAGACTTTTATAAGATTTCCTTCTCATATGGCCGCGGTTGATAATTACACTCATCTGGATCATCAAGGTGCATATGCCAGGAGTCGCGTGCAGTTTTTGGCTAAATATTTTTTAAAAAAATTCGTCATGTTTCCATGTTTGATGTGGCGTACTTGTTTTATTCTGGTTTCATAGGCCTGTTGAATAAAAGAAAAATATTGTAATGTTGAATAAAAGAAAAATATTGTAATGGTGAATTTTTTGATAGACGTTTGCATATCACTAATGAAATAAGGTAAGGACTGTTTGGGACAGCTGCAGTTGTTTGAAGAAGCAGTTGTGAAACAGTTTCTTGTTCAGCTGATATTCAAAAAGCTACGGTGACTATTACAAAAAAATTTTTTTTTTTGGAAGAATCAAACCGTTACTTTCTAGCAGCCATCATAGATAGTCAGATCTGGTGGGAAAACGTAACTGTTAGGTAAAATGCAGTTTTGCCAAATAAAAAAACTATAGTGAGGCATCACACTGCCATTGTACCGCCGCCCCAAATTCACTTGTAGTCTAACGGGCAAAACATATATATTTGGAACATCCGATATCTAATAGTTTTTATGGTGATGAATATATGAAGAAAAGTTAATGAGGTTTTCGCCCATTCTATTCCTTAATTTTCAAAATTGTTATCTTAAAAGAAAGTAGGATGACTAATGGGACTGTGAAAAGACAAGTAAAATTGCTAAAGACTGTAAACCCAAAAATAAACTAGTGAAAAATTAACTTATGAGAAGAGAATAATTAAAAAAAAAAAAGATCTTTAAAAGATTTAAATCTCAGTTCAATAAGCTATGGCTCCCTACAAAACAATTGAAAACAAACACAAACAATCAATGAATTTGCAAGCTCCAGTGATGAGTAGATGGCCAAAGAGTATTTACTCAGCTTAGAAGGGGCAACACAAGTTAGAGGCAAACAAGAAGTAAAGGCGTCACTAAGAACAGCCAAATATAAAATCAGCTTGAAGCTTCATACAGAGAAATTAGAATCAAATATAAAGGCAAAGTCGCATACATTATAATAGACATATAACCGACAAGTGCAAAGTATAGGCCAAAATGACTATATTCTAATCATGGGCAACAAACAAAGATGAATGTCTAGATAATCAGTCGAACGCATTAATATTGTTGGATTTTATTATAGTTCACAATTACAAAGCCAAAAAAGAATATATATTTTCATGAAAAATGAACATATATACAAAAAGGAACACAAAGTAAATAACAAGAGCAGCTGAATATTAGATAAGTTATAATGTATAATCTGCTAATTTGCTATAAGATTCCACACTTTAAGATAGTTTTTTTTTTCATTTTTCTCTGATAGTAAAATGCACATTTTGTATAAGTACATCAAAATGAGTGATGGTATTCTTGAAAACTCTGCTATTCATTTCCATCTTTTAGTTATTTTGCTTGTAAACGTATCAGAATGAGTGAGAATTTGAAGCAAATTGCCTCCAAAAAAGAAGAATTTTCATTTAGGAATGCATCCTTTTAAGTAATGGATGAGATTGAGGGCACTCAAAAAAGCCAGTGAGAATGAGATTCCAACATAGTGTGACAAAAGACACAATGTTGATTAACAAGAAGTCCTCTACTGAAATTAGCATCATTTGGTTCTTTGATCCTTAATGAGTATTCTCCATACTGTTAATAAATTTAGTAGAATGCCTTATAAACCAGATATATTTACTCCAATACATTTTGAGAAATTCCTTATAATAAAAGAGTAAACAAATTTATGAGAGTAACAATTTTACCCCACCAAAAATAGTAAAGCTTTTTGCCCCACCAAAAGCAAACATGTTGGTTTTTCCCAATTGGGATACTAAGTATGAGTTGAACACAATGCACCAAAGTTGTAGAGGTTGATAACAAAAACCATTGATAGTTATTTTTAAATTCAAAAATTTTAGTTTGAATAAGGAATCAAAGCCAAGAGAAAATGGACTTATAAAGTGAGAAACCATTTAGCTAGGAATCGAAACAAAAAAATGGAGATTGCTATTATATTAACTTGCAGAAGACATAACCATTTTTTTCAAACTATCAAATGTATCAAGGCTTTCTAAATTATATGGATGTTAAACTTAATCTTGAACCAAAGAATAAGTTTTAAGACACCAATTAGAAAATTGTGAGATAAACTTATAATGCCTTTAAATAATCTTAGATTTGCATATAAGATTGATAATATCATGATTTGTGAGTCCCAGTCAACTATAATATGTAATTTTAGTAGTATTGTTCTAATGAACAGTACGTATTTTCTTATCAACTTTATGATGATAAAAAAAAAATTGTTTATAATAGATGAAATTTTCTTTCTTAAATCTTTTGGGATGATAATGGACCAGAATTAATAGTACAAATAACTCCATATAATTGATTTAATCAACTAGTGAGTACCATCAAATGAAAGAAGTTTCTATTTCTATCCAAATAACTAATGTCATATTTTATCCAGTATCCTAGGAAGATCAAAAGCTTTAAGTTTGGATGAGCTAATAGTGATACCAAGGGAAGGGCTTGAATATATAATCATCGGCTTCACATATCTGCTATTAAGTGAGCATGTTAATAGATTTAGAGAAGCAAATTACAGAACTGGAATGGTTTAAAAATAAATTAGAAACCATATTAAAAGTTTGAAGTATTTAAAATTATTATTATTACAATTATGATCAAGCCATTTATAAACAAGTACATCATCAACATTTATTCGATAAGAGCTACTACAACCATTCAAAATTATGTCATCATAATTAGAGTTGAGACAGTGAGACTCCTTATGCATACATAAGACATCTATAATAATCACAAATAGGCTTTTAAAAAGGTGGTCAACCATGCCTCAAACCTAATGAAGATTTGAAATTACCCTGAATCTCACTATTGATGATAATAAAAATATTAAGTTAAGTAGTGTTGACTTTGATCCATCAAATAAGGAAGAAGGAAAACTCAGACTCCACTTTTTCATAGAGAAAATGACGGTTAACTCGATTAAAGGCTATCATTAGATCAATTTTAGAGCAAAGATTTTGGCAAAATAAGTTGAATCAAAATCATCTAAGAGCTCAGTTGTTAAAATAATATTATCAATAATAACATAGCCAAAAATGAAGATGACTTGGGGAATTTGAATTATGCTTAGAAAAATATATTGTAAGTATCCCTACAAGCAGTTTGGATAAAACCTTATGAATAATATTGAAAAAAGAAATATGTTTATAGTCATTGAGAGAATAGCCATGAGAAATCTTACGAATCAGAGTAATTGTAGAATTTTGATCCAATCAAGAAGATTTGATGTGTCGAAATAATATTTATTCACCTTAATACATGAAAGTCCTTTAATTGATGAAGTAACTTGAAGAATTTGGAAGTAAATCTTTAGATCTGGGGATTTTATTTGTTCTAATATTAAATAATGCACAATTAATTTCATTATTAGTGAATGCTTCAATGAGGGTTTTACATTCTCATGTATTGAGTTTAGGTCCAATAAATATATCCTTAAAATATGTGTTAGTGGTATTAGTAAGGTTATTGAGCAAAACTGAGAAAAATAAATTAGATTATCTAGCAATACCATATTGAGAGAAAATATATGAGTGAATAGAAAAAATTTCTTCGATGTAGTACTAGTTACTCCAAATTTTAATTCTTTGGTAAGGGAATTTAATATAACTTTCTTAGTTAGTAAGACAAACATACTTTACTAATTTTTTAATCCATTTGTGCTCATAAGATGTGGCTTTGATCAATTGATTTTAATGAAAAAAGCTTTATCAAAAAGGACTTTATAAAGGTTTGGCTCTTTAATTGGTTCATAATATCTTTTTGGTCATTTTTGAGCTCAATGATGGCATTATATATGTTATTGAAAAAGTTTTACGGTAATCCTTGAAGGAAAATCTAATATTGTTTAGCTTGTAACAAAGAGCAAATATGGGATCCTTGATCACAAAATAATTTCAAGTATTAGCAATGATGCTAAGAAAATTAGGACAACAACTCCAGTAATTTGTATACATGAATATACACTTAGAATTAAAAGCATTGTCAAAACAAATATGTAAAAGAGAACGGTCAGAGATAAGAGGTTCCATCACTTTAATGTGAAAGAGGGAATGTATTCATTTAATGATCATTACGACAGGCTATGCCAAGTAGGTATCTGATAAGATTATACAATTATTGATTGCACCAACTAAAATATTAACTACTATTGGGGAGGTCAAAAAGATCATAAATCAATAATGCATGATTTAAAATCAATATGCTTGCATGGAATTTGGAACCACATTCCCAAGTTTGTCTATATATTTTAAAATATAATTAAAGTCACCAATTACGAGTCAAAACTCATTAATATTAGCAACCGGAGTATTTATAGAATTCCCCAATCCTTCTCTTAGAGGCACAATTCTCACTATAAATAGAAGTCAACAAAAAATC